AAGGAGAGTTCAGACCAAAGTTTTTCATGCAGAGTTATAGGATCACCCAGACAGAGTGGGGCAGGTTGGATGGGACCACARGGGGTCTGATCCTATATCCCTGCTCAAGCAAGGCCACCCTACAGCACAGGACTGTGTTCAGATGGTTCTGAAACATCTTCAGGGAGGAGATATTTCTCCTCTGGACAGTCTGTTCCAGTGTGCAGTCACCCACAAAGGAAAGAATCCTCCTGTGAGCATTGCAGGCATTTGCCCTAAAATCCAGAACARTGWCTTCTAGRARCTGCCCAGCACTYTCTGCAACAAAATAGATTCAGCCAGCCTGGACCACTCATGATTTTTGCATGGCAGTAATTGTAATGGCTAMTGTGTCTGCCTGTGCAATCACTTTGTGGACAGCGCAGAGTTTGTTTGACAAAAATTTGAATCCATCTTGAATCCTTGCTCCTCTGCTCCTCCTGTCCTTCCTCAAAGGGATCCTACTGAAGCAATAACTCTTTTTCATGCCTCTGATGACAATCAAAATAATTCATTCTGAGTCCTAACCCCAATTAAACTGTCCATGTCCTAGAGCCCCAGGGAGCTGGATTTGCTTTGGAGCAATAGTCTTCACCCAGTTTGTGCTTCATTCCTTCTCATASGGGAAGAAAAGTACACTGATGGTGCACAAATAACTGAGAACTCTGCCCTTATTGAGCAAACASATCACAGGGTGCAACTGGGAAATCATGAGCAGATGCACAAACCGGAAAGTAAAACGAAACATCTGTACCCCCACCAATGAAACTGCTGGGAAAACCTGGGAGAGGATCGCAAATATTTACCACACCGCTAATGAAGTGCAGAAGATTCTGGCAGGGTTCTTAAGAGAGATGGAAACATCTTTAAAATGAGGCTGTTGTCAGCCTCGAATGTGATGTTATGTTCAAACCACAAAGGTGCACGAGCTGAGTGGTTAGAAGCAGTTGGCAAACATGGCTTTCCTTTTTTTTATGGAACTCCTGAAGGAGAGTGGAATTGAGTCAAGAGAGCCATAGGAGACCAGATGGGCTCCTGCAGCAAGCAGGGCAGGAAATAGGGATTTCTGCATGAATATTGAGGCACTTTTAGCCACCCTTGAGTGTGTGGGCTGCCTGTCATCTCCAGGCAGAGGCAGTGGTGCCCTCCAGGGCACAGGAAAAGGCCRTGCAGGGTCAGGCAGGGAGGCTCAGACAACGCTGATCTCTCTGATCCACCTCCAGCCCTGAGTCCTGAACTCCCAAGGCTCCTCTGAAGGAGGGATCTGGAAGACGATGAGTGGTAGTACACAGATATATCAACAGAAAATGTTTTCAGTGATGARGATAATGAGAACCTTATTTTTCCTGACTCGTCTCTGTGAATATCAAGGTTTTTGTTGCAGGACTGGTCAGCCCTCAGGACAGAAGCACCCACATCTACCCTGGAGATGTCTTAACATATTTGTAAGAGAAGTCAAAAAAATAAATCAATAGGAAAGTCTCCTCTGACTTCAGAGATCTCTGGGTTGGGTTTTATCAATATTAATTGGGGATTTCTGCTGCTTAGATRTTCATGGCCRCTGCCACTGMATTTGCTGCAATATCAACATAAAGKGATGCAYACCACTCTGCATCTTCAATTGCTTGATGGCTTTACACAGAGATCCCTCACGAAAGAAATTAATAAAGAATTCTAAACTCTCCCACCGTTCTCTGATGTTGCCCAGACAACTCATGTCAGAGACAGAAGTGAATGCAGGAAGAAGCAAAAGTCAGCAAAAAAGTTTCGAGTGGAATTTGCAATCGCTGAATGCAGAAAGTGACTGAAAAGCTTTCTATATCTCAGCTTTTGTGCTTAACTGAGGTGTGTGTTAAGGCAGTACAATGAAAATCAGAATGCTTGCTCGAAATGCTCATGCAGCCTTTGAGGAACTCGTGAATTTATGGGGCGGGCTGTGGAGGGAGAGATGGTGGAAAGATTTACTGAGAAGGAAGAAAGAGAAAGGGGAGGGCTGCGTAAAATGCAGATCAGGAAAATCAGATAGCAATGACAAACACAAATGAGCTCTGGAAGACAAGKCTCTAACAACTGTAACAAACTTTAATGCATTCTGGGAGTGAAATAATGAGGCAAGGAAGGGAGTCAGAGCCACAGAGGCTGGCGTGCTTGTGACACGCACACAAAGCCCCTTCTCACGATGGAGCAAACCCCTGCCCCTTCGAATCTCCCAATCATGGGAAGAGCTGGGTAGGCAAACCCTGCTTCTTTCTGAGAGTCACCTGTGCCTCAGCACRTGGGTCGGTGCTGGATCAATACCATGGCATTCATTTTTGGGTGAGTGAGGATGGACTGAGGCCAGTGACTCCCAGCCCAGCTCCACGGTGGGAATCTGTGCTTGGACAGAAAGGTAAAAGCAAACAGTGTGATGACAATAAGCATGACAGCACTGAAATAAGACCCCACAGACATTTTTTKCCATGGCTCAGGAAATGTTTGAGGCATAAACCATCTGCACATGTAGATGTACTCCATGCTTTGAGGCTGTTTTCACCGAAAGGGTATTTAAAAGAGATAAAAATGAATAGTCACCATTATGGGCTGGATTCCTGCCAGCTGCTTGGTAATTAGAGCTTTAATTGCCCGGTAATAAAAGTTTTAATTATTCAGCAATTAGAGCTTGATGTTTCAAGCGCTTCACACGCACTCGATTACGTTCTTGAAGTCAGGAGCGAAGGACAGAGCAGCTCCAGCAAAGCTTTGAGCAGGAGAAGGGAATCCAGAGATGGAGCAGCAGCTGATGGGCACAGCCCCGAGTGCCAGGGGTGAAAAACTTCCTCAGAGCAGACCCTGAAGGCAGATAGGATCTCTCCCCAACTCTCCCATCCTCGGCKGGGCCAGGGAGGARYTCAGRTGGTGAAGGCACCGWGCTGGGATGGGGGAAGGCTGCTGCRGAGACCACGTCCTTTCCAACATCTCTGCTCTTTCCTTTGGTGCATTCACTCCTTTGGGCTTCTAAGTCACACACCCTGCAAGGACTATTCATTAATTTAAAATTAATTTAAATTCTAAATTTTAAATTTTTGATCTCAACTACTATGGATGGAATGAGAAGCAGCCAGCTCTGGAGGTATCTTATCAAAAAGGCTGAAACCCACCCTAAATACTGCATCTAACTGCAGCATGTTTATTGCAATTCCACAAAATATTTTACCTATTCCCTGGATAATTTAAGGCAAAAATACCCTTTGTTGTGTCAGGTATGAATTGCTTCAAACCCAGCATTATCCTGATTCATTTTCCACATGCTGGATAATAAAGGTCCCGAGGGTCTGGTTTCTTTTTTGCTTCACTAGGATTTAATTATCATTAACAAGTCAAACTACAACAAAGTCAACAGTTGGCAATGGTGCAGGAAATAGGAGTGCATCTAGGGCACAGAGCCTGGCAGAAACTGCATATTTCTGATCTGCTTGGGTAACCAAAGAGGCAAATTTTCTGATGAACCATGTAGTCAGASAGTAGGGACAACTTTTCCATAAAATAATTACAGTTGCTCATGTTCTTTTTTTAATTTTTTAATTTTTTTTTAATGCCCAGAAGAGAGTTTTAAATGATGTTCAGGTTTTGGTTTTTTTTTGCAGACAGCAAGCAAAATCCATTACAAGAACTTTGGCAAAACCAGACAAAATTGATTCAGTAAAAATGTTTCATGGGGGAAAAAGTCTGGTAGAGGAAGGGTGGGATGAAACTTTTTCAGAAATTCAAAGTAAGATGCATGCTCTGTTAGATGTTGCTGTAATTTAAAAAAAAAAAAAATCTTAATTTTGACAGGGGAATCATAATGTGGGAGYTTGTTTCCTTTTTTTCTTAGACTGGTTTCCAAATTTATCTATTCTTAAGAGTTAAAGTTGAGAAGTGAAGTTTATGGGAAACATACCAATAATCACATAAGCACAGATATAAAAAAACCCAAAAAACTAGTCTTCCTATTACTGAATATTAGAAAAAAATCCAACAAATTCAAATTATGATTATCCAAACATCAGCATCAAAATAATATACAAATAATAATAAAGAAATGAAAGTCAAAATACGTTTTTTCCCTTCTGCTCTGAAAGGAATYCAGGCCTTTTAACAGGACATGGATGGTTAGTAACCTGGTTAATAACTCAAAGCATTGAGGTCGTCTCTAAAGTGGCATCAGATGTTTTCTGTACTCGGGGCTGTGCAGGTCACTGATTTCACAAATGCTCCACTTCACTGGGGTGCTGAGTTCAGGGACTGTACATATGTTTTCTGTCTCATTTCCCTGAGACRAACTCTGTGGTGCACTTCACAGTGGTGAACAAATGTTTTTTCCAGCCATTACACTCTAAAACATTAAAGTCAGGGCGAGCTGGGATTCACCTCACGGGACAGAGCTGGTCACAGTCTCAATGAGCAGACACACAGGGGACTCACTCCTCCCAAATATAAATGCCCAGGAGAGATGAGCTGATTGCTCTCTGGTGGATCTGTCTCCAATAAATAAGGAGAGATCAACTTTTAGAGAACCTGGAGAAATGTGGAGTCTCAGAAGCGTGATGGGAGCAGAAAGGACTGAAAAAAGCAGGTTTTGTTGAGTGTTGGTATTGATTTTCCCTTTCACACCCAGGAAAAGGATGTGTATTTCAGGCAATGTTGTTGCTGCAGTTATCATTATTTCTTTCACCTCTGAGTCTGCAATTCAAGGTTCCAGGCTTGGATAACAAAGCACCCTGTGTGGTATGGATCCAGGACAAAGAGCTGGCCTTCATCCCTGGTAGAGCAGGGTCAAAGAAGCCCCTGCCACACCTTTTATTTACAGTGAGAAGTTGTACTGCACAGGGAATCTTTGCAACAAACGGTTTTTTAGTTGATTCTATAACTAAAAAAAAAAAAAAAAAAAAAAAAAAAAAAAAGTGCTTCTTTCTGTGTTTGGCACCTTACAGAACCTCTCTTTCCCCATTATTATTTTCCAGCGATGCTTTTTCCAGCTGCTCAGCGATTCAAGAGGTCCTCAGCTGCCTTCCTCAACCCAGTGCTACAGAACTCGCTGGAAGATGTGGTCCTGCTTTATGAGGTTCAGTATGCGGCACCGTAATCCATACTAGGGTTATCCATTATCTGTCTTTGTGGCCCTTTTATTCACCCCAGCAGTAAACCCATAACTGGGTTTGGTGTGATGGTTCACCAGAAGGGTGGGAACAGACACATATATGTGTATATATAAAAAAATAAATATAAATAATAATAAATAAATATAAATAATAAAAATATAAATAATAAAAATATAAATATAAATAATAAAAATATAAATATAAATATAGCGTATATATAAATATATATAAATATTTATAAATATAAATATAAATATAAATATAAATATAAATATAAATATAAATATGAATATAAATATGAATATAAATATGAATATAAATATAAATATAAATATAAATAAATATGTGACAAATTCAATTCTTTGATTTGAGCAAAGTGAAAATCAGAGCAAAAGGCTTTCTGCCGAAAGGAACTTTCCTGCAGAACAGTTGCCTGTAAAAAAACCAATGGATTTAAATTCTTTGGTCTAAGTCTCAGTCCCAAACTATTAAAGCCACAAGTGTCAGTCATTGCGAAGAAACCCCCAGGGAGTGGCTGTTTCTCTTCAAAACAATTCATGTCCCCTCTTTCACAGCAGTGCAATCAAATCACATTCTGCTCATTTGGTTAGGAAGGGGAAAATGGCCTGGCTGGAGAAGGCAATGGGTCAAATCTATCTGTTTATCCCACATTTTGAGAACCTAGGCTTGGATGTCCAAACAGGAGATGGGTTTGAAAGCTGCTGCTGTGCTCTGTCACACAGACCTTGGCAGGGTAAGCTGCCTTTCCCAGCTGTGTTAGAAACAATCCCCAGCAGCAGCCCATGCCAGTTTTGAACAGAAAACTCCCTGTTTTTCCCTTTTATTCCCTCCTTTCCCCCCAGCTTGTCTTCAGTTTTCCCAAGTAGGTAACACAGGAGTGCAATGAATCCTCACACAGAAACTTTCTGGTTTGCCCCAYCTCCAGCCAGTGCAATTGTCTCCATCTGACAAAAATTAAAACACCTGAGGTTGTTAAATTGTCTCCATCTGACAAAAATTAAACACCCGAGGTTGTTAATTCACTTTTTTCTGCCCAGAGTCTCATGGAGAAAATAAACATCTTTCTGTGTTTTTGTACCAGTTCCTTTTAGCCGAGCTGGACATCGACAAAGGCCAGAGGATCTCCATCAAAGACGAGGAGCTGGCTTCCCTGAGGAAAGCCGCCGAGTTTGACACCATCTGCAACGAAATCATCCCCAAGAGCATCTCCGACATCCGCAGGCTGAGCAGCCGCCTCTCCTCCTACCCCAGAGCCCTCAGGAAGGAAGACTTTGAAAGGACAGTGCTGACCATGGTCTACACGGCCTACAGAGCTGCCCAGAGCCGGGGCCACCAGAAGGACACGTGGGCAGAGTCGTTTGTAAACCTTTACAAAGCCCTCAAGAACGATTTGATGTTCCCTCACCACAAACGGCCGTCGTAGCGGAGATGAGGCCTCACTACACGGCGTAGTACGGCCAACACTTTATTCTCTAAAGAGTTTAATCGCCTGCTTCCTCAAAGATTATTTGTTTTCTGGCTCCCTCTTGTGGAAWCCGCTCTCTAGCTCCGTGTAAAACGCTGACAAACGTCGTCGCAGTCCGGAGATTTTGATTTTTGGAGGTGCATTCTGTGGCAGGCAGAGAAGGGAGGCTGGTGTACACCTTGTTTTGGGCAAACTGAGGATTTCTTAGGAGATCCACACAGATATACTCTGCTCATGCTCTCATGCTGATGTCTGAGAGCTGGACGGTGCTGCTTTCCTCTTCCAAACTCATGTTTTGTAAAAGAATCTTACACAGAGATGAAAACCTTCTGTAAAAGGAAAGGGTTTCATAACTGCCAGCCTTCAGGAATTATGCCACATATTATTCATTCCAAATGTCCTCCTCARTAAGCACTCTCTGACTCACTTCAGTTGGCTGGGCCTGTTTTTAATTGCAATAACATTTGCAGAACACAAAGGGCATTGTGAAAACACCAGCAGCAAACAATGCCTGTGAACGTATTCCCCTCTTCCTGTAGCTGTCCTCCCAAACAGCTTGCAACGATTCTTTCATTATTTGTACATGACTTTGCTTCTGCTCCTTGTTTTTTCTTTTTTTTTTTTTTTTTTTTTTTTTTTTTTTTTTTTTTTTTTTTTTTTTTTTTTTTTTTTTTTTTTTTTTTTGTAAAAAAAAAGACCAGTTTGTTTAATTTAATAATGACACATTTTTCCCGGTGCTGCCACTTGGAACATTCAAACCCACGCTTCAGAATCCCCCTGAGGTGAGGGAGGAAGGTCCATTAAAACTAGTGCTGAATTTAGCACTGTGGCTCATTTTTTAAAATAGTAAATTGTATATTCATTTGAGCATGTGTGTGTGTGTCTGTGTTCATGAACACAGTGCTGAGTACACACAAAAATTCTAAATTGCTCAGTGAGTGAACAATTGCACCTGACCATTTGGCAGAAGAGGCTATTTGCCAACTCAGTGGTGCAAATTATGAATTTGGGAGCAGCAAAGGGAAATCTGTAGAAATAGTGCGACTGATTATAATAACAAAACAAACAAAAAAAAATGAAGATAAAATAGACAGAAAAAGGAGATTTATCTTGTCACACAGATGACTAGCTATCAAAAATCCAAAGACTTTTCAATCAAGTCCCCTGATTTTTGCACACAAGAGACACAAACTCTGTTTTTCTGTTGATACTAGAGGTGCTTCTCTTTCCAGACCACAGGAAAACAACTGAACGTTTATGTCATCCATTCAAACCATCATTCTTTATCTCTCTATTGCACAATATCTTACWGATGCAGGCCCAAGTCACAAACCCCTGAGACTGCACAAGTTCTGAATCACATTTAACAGCTTTTGCACCACCTGAGCAAAAGGAATTAACCCTTCTGTGTCCCTTAACTGGGATTCTCCAAGCACTGGAGCTGCAAAAAATCCACCCAGAGCACAGTACAAGCTGTSAGAGTGAAGGGGTTTGGCAAACACCTGTGGGAATGTGGAGCCACAGCAGCCTCAGGGCAGTCTGGCCACGGCATTAACAGCTGAACAAAGTTCATTTTAAAAGACAGAGTCGGTTTTGTTTCACCCAGGAACTCCTGGATTTGTGTACACGTGCATACATGTTTATTTAGACACTCATGTGCATCAGGGGCGCTTTTACACCTGAATTTTGTTGGCCACTTTCAAAMCCTGTCTGCAAAGGGAACTGCAAAGCTCAGCCACAAAGCTGTGGGTCACAAATATCCCTGTTTCGTCTCAGTTTAGCACTCCCAAGCAGCCTTGCAATGCTGCCTACACACCCTTGGAGCCCTCAGCTCTAACACCAATGACCTGTTTGTAATTCCTTCCCCCACCATGCTTTAAAAACACACAAAGGAACAATGCCACAGAGTGCAATCTGCCTTTCCAGCTCTGCTCCCTGGAACACCTCTTGCTGGAAGAGCCTGGAAGCAGGGCAATTCCTAAATTCCTCCCAGCCAGCTGCTCCAAGAGCAAAAATAGCAAGGAAGAGAATGAGAGCAAATATTACTCCCTAGCAGTCACCATCCAGAGAAATACCCCTGCCAGCCATGCTCCTCATCCCACAACAGGACTGCTCAGCAGTCAGAGTGTGTTAATCATAAAATATCCCATAGAAAAGAATTACAGATGATTTTTAATATCTTATMATTCCCTATGGTGTACATACCTTACAAATTGGTTACTGAAACATTTATCTCCTCAACAGAAAATAAAGGTTTTATGAGTTTGTTTCCCTCCTCCCTTTACTGTGTGTAATGTAAGAAAAARAGATTTATTCCTTGGGAAAGTGCTTGGACTGCCCAGGTTAATTTAACAGAGACTCTCAATGTAATAATAAAAACATTCTACATAAAAGTGCTTTTCTTTGCATTGTATTGGTTTCAGCAACAGATTTACAATTTTGCAGTTCAGCCTGAGAAATTGCTTGGCTCAGACTGCGAAAGTCTCCATGGGAGCAATGGTGGACAAGAGAAGAGGGAAGAGCCCTTCCCTCTGAAGGAGGTAATAAATAAGAATGAGAGTGCYTCCTTTTCCCAGAGTTCAGGTGGGAAGGAGTACTCTGCCTTCAGGGGAATTCTTTGGGCTTAGAACATTTCCCTCCTTGGTATTGCTCAAAATGCAGGTGTAGGTTGATGCTCCCTATATCGGTTTACATCTCATCACTTTGGACTGAATGTTCTTTATGGGCAGTTCTTCTTTCACAGGTCAGAAAACCATTG